AAACCAACCCCAACCAACCCTGCTCTGACCCCAAACCAACCCCAACCAACCCTGCCCTAAACCCCAAACCAACCCCAACCCTGCCCTAAACCCCAAACTAACCCCAACCCTGCTCTGACCCTAAACCAACCCCAATCCTGCTCTAAGCCACCAACCAACCCACCTCACCCTAACCCTACTCCAACCACAACCCCAATTCCAACCCGAAGTGAAGCCCAATCCAATTCCAACCCCAATCCAACCCCAACCCCAATCCCAATCCAACCCCAGCTCCAATCCAACCCCATTCCCCCCGGCACTGACAGAGGCGGTGCCGGCGGGCGATGTGCCGCAGGATCGCGTTGCTCTGCGTCAGCCGCACGGGGCCATCGATGAAATAGGGCAGCTGGGGGCACAGGGACAGTGGGGTCAGGGACGTGGGGACAGTGGGGTCAGAGATGTGGGGACAGTGGGGTCAGGGACGTGGGGACACAGGGACAGCGGGGTCAGGGGACACAGTGTGGGGACACCAGGGGACACTGGGGTGAGGGGGCATGGGGACACCGGCAGAGGACACTGGTGTGGGGAGCCCAGCACATGGGGCCACAGGGACCCCAGGGACATGGGGACACGGGTACGCAGGGACCCTAGGGCATGGGGACACAGGGACCCAGGGACCCCAGGACACAGGGACCCAAGGACCCGGGGCATGGGGACACAGGGACCCAGGGACCCCAGGACACGGGGACACAGGGACCCCAGGACACAGGGACCCAAGGACCTGGGGCATGGGGACACAGGGACCCAGGACACAAGGACACAGGGACCCAGGGATCCCAGGACACAGGGACCCAAGGACCTGGGGCATGGGGACACAGGGACCCAGGGATCCCAGGACACAGGCCCCCAGGCCCCCCCATACATTGGGAAAGTCCAGCCCCAGCTTCTCCTTCTCGTTGATCCACTGGCTCTTGTCGTAGTCGGGGGCTGGGGGGGACAAGGGGGGTGGGTCACGTCCTGTCCCATCTCCCAAAGCCCCCAGAGCTCGAGGGTGGGGCGGGGACCCCCCAGGCCCCCCCAGATCCCCCTCACCTTCCCCGCAGCTGTAGAGTTTGTCCTCGTAGGGGGTCTCCGTGTACTCCAGGAGCAGGCGGATGGCGTGGGCCAGCTGGGGGGGGGGCAGTGAGACCCCCCAAAATCACCCCCCCCGTGGACAAACCACCCCCCCAGCATCCCCAGGGGAGCCCCCGGCGCGGGGGGACCCCACAACACACGGGGGGACCCTAAAAGTAACTCCCCCCCACCCTCTAAGGGCAGCAGGACCCCCGGAGACCCCCCAGATGACAGCCCAGACCACCCCCGAAAGAGCAGGGGGAGCCCAAGAGCCCCCCCAAAAGAGCAGGGGGAGCCCCCAAAACGCCCCCAAAGAGCAGAGGGACACCCACAGCCCCCCCAGTAGATGAGGGGGACCCCCGAAGACCTTCCGCAGCCTCCCAAAGGACCAAGAGAATCCCTGAAGACCCCCCGAAGCCCCCCAAAAGAACAGGAGGACGCCCGCAGCCCCCCCGAAAGACCCGGGGGGGCCCGAAAACCCCCCGCAGCCCCCCCCCAAGATCAAAGGGAACCCCGAAGCATCCCCAAAATAGCAGGGGACCCCCTCAGCCCCCCCCCAAGACCCGAGGGGACCCGACCAAAGGGCCCCCCCAGCGCGCTCAAAGGCCGGGGGGGTCCCTGAGCCCCCTCCCCGTGCCGGGGTCCCCCCCCGGGACCCCCCGCTCACCCCGCGGATGTCCCAGTACCCCAACACCGCCATGGCCCCGACACGTGACCGCGGCCCCGCCCCGGCACGTGACAGTCCCGCGGCCACGCCCCAGCACGTGACAGCCCCGCGGCCACGCCCCGGCACGTGACAGCCCCGCGGCCACGCCCCAGCACGTGACAGCCCCGCGGCCACGCCCCTAACGGGGGCGGGGGTTGCCGGGGGTGAGGGGGACGCGCGGGAGGGACCCGGGTCCAGCGGGACCCCCCCCTTTGTCCGGGGGGCTCTGCGACCACCCCCCCCACACACGGGGTCCCCCTGAACAGGGGGCTCTGTGACCTCCCATCCCCATGGGACCCCCTGAATTCCATGGAGACCCCCTTAGCAGCGGGCTCTGGGATTCCCCATCCCCATGGGACCCCCTTGTCCTGGGCTCTGTGGCTCCCCCCCCCCGCCAGATTCCACAGGATCCCCCTTAACAGGGGGCTGTGTGACCCCCCCTTCCCCATGGAGGTCCCCTTTACCTGGGGGGCTCTGCAACCTCCCCATCCCCATGAGACCCCCTTGTCCTGGCAGCTCTGGGACCCCCAAACTCCACGGGGGGCCATGAATCCCTCTGTGCCACCCCCCTCAAGCCGCAGGGGGGGTCCCCCTTTCAACTCCGTCAGGAGGGGTCTCATTATGCTGGGGGTGCACAGATAAGGGATCCCCCTTATCCTGGGGGTGCAGAGAGAATGCCCCCCCCATCCCAGGCTCCAGGAGGGTCCAACAGCCCCCCCCCCCCCCCCCGGGGTCCCCCCCCCCCCGGGGGGCCCCCACAGTCCTACAGTGAACCCACAAATCAGCCGGACAAGGGGGAGGCCCCCACGGTTTACTGGGGGGGGTGAGCTGGGGGACACGGGGGTGAGTTGGGGGACACGGGGGTGAGTTTGGGGGCAGGGGGGTGAGTTGGGGGGCACGGAGGAGTCCCCCCTCAGTCCTTGGTGTTGCACCACTTGGCCGTGCGCCAGAAAATGGGCGTCTTCATGAAGCGACTGGAGCTCATGTAGGAGGAGACCTTGGGCAGGGCCTGGGGGGACAGGGGGGGACACTGAGGACAGCAGGGACTGGGGGGGACCCTGGGGACAGCGGGGCTGTGGGGAGATAGGGACACGTGGGGAAAGCGATGGGGACACGGGACAGGGCTGGGAACACCAGGGACACGTGGGGAGAGGGATGGGGACAAAGGGAACAGGAGTGGGGCCACTGGGGTGTCAGTGGTGGGGACACCGGGGGGGTCAGGAATGGGGATAGGGACAGATGGGGACAGGAGCACCTGAGTGTAGGGGATGGGGATGGGGACACAGGGGTGTCAGGAATAGGGACAGGGTCAGGGCTGGGGATTCTGGGGGTTAGGGACACCAGAGGGTCAGTGGTGGGGACACTGGGGATTGGGGACACTGGCAGGTCAGTGGTGGGGACACCAGGGTGTCTGGGATGGGGGCACCAGGGGGTGTCAGCGATGGGAACAGGGACACTGGGGTGTCTGGGATAGGGGCACTGGGGACACTGGGGTGCCCCGGGCTGTCCCCAGGCTGTCCCCTGTCCCCCCTCACCTCGAAGCGCTGCAGGAAGCGGCCCAGGTTTCCCTGGAATTCGGGGCTGTCGGGCACAAACATGCGGTGCTGGTCCAGCACATCGTAGGCCACGAAGTCCACGAAAGTCAGCTGGGGGGGCAGAGGGGGTCAGACCCCACAGGGACCCCCAAAACAACCCCCCAGAGCCCCCTCAACTCACCTTGTCCCCCGCAAACCAGGGCCGGGAGCCCAGGAAACGCGAGAACTCCTGGAGCTTCTTGGGAAGCTGCTCCAGGTACCCCGGCTTCAGCTTCTCCTGCAGGGGGGAGGGTTGGGGGGGCTGCAACACAACCCAGACCCCCCAGAACATCCACCAGACCCCCCAGAACACCCCCAGACCCCCCAGAACACCTCCAGACCCCCCAGAACACCCCCAGACCCCCCAGAACATCCCCCCAGACCCCACAGAACATCCCCCCAGAACACCCCCAGACCCCCCAGAACATCCCCCCAGACCCCCCAGAACATCCCCCCAGACCCCACAGAACATGGGCAGCACCCCCGGGCAGAGAGGTGGGAGTGGGAATGGGAATGGGGGAAAGGGGGATGGGAATGGGGGAATGGGGATGGGAACTGGGGATGAGAACAGGGAAACTGAGAATGGGAATGGGCAAATGGGAGGGAATATGGGAACGGGGGAATGAGGGATAAGAATGTGGGAATTGGGAATGGGAAAGGGAATGGGGATGAGAACAGGGGAACTGGGGAATGGGAGATGGGGGGAATGGGAGGATGGGGGATGAGAATGGGGGAGTTGGGAATTGGAATGAGGGAGTGGGGGAATGAGAAGGAGGGAATGGGGGCAAAGGGGGCATCCCAACAGACCCCCCCACGCCGGTAGTGGCTCAGTCCCTTGTCCCACGTGGGGGGACAGTCCCGGCGTTTGGGGGGGTTCATCCCCCCGTGCCCCCTCCCCCGGGGGTACTCACGAAGTCGGGGCTGTAGCAGAGCCGGATGAAGCCCATCCTGAAATCCATGACCTCGTTTTCTATCAGATCCACGCGCTGCTTCTCCTGCTCCGTCTGCCCGCCTGCGGCACCGGGAGGTGTCACACACCCCCCTCCCCCCAAAAAGAGCCCCCCGGGACCCCCCCCGGCCCCCCACTCACACAGGTCGTGCTTGCGGGCGAGGTAGCGCAGGATCGCGTTGCTCTGGGTCAGCTTGGTGGGGCCGTCGATGAGATACGGCAGCTGGGGGGGGCCCGGAGGGGGGGGTCAGCCCCGGTGACCCCCCCTGCGCTCCCCACGCCCCCCCACCCCCATCACCTACGTTGGGGAAGTCGAGCCCCAGTTTCTCCTTCTCGTTGGTCCAATCGCTCAGGTCGAAATCGGGGGCTGGGGGGGGGAGGGCAGAGCAATTAGGGGGAGGGGGGCTCCCCCAGACCCCCCCCCCAGCCCATAGGGGGGTCCCGCTCTGCCCCAGGAGCTGCGTGTGCCCCCCCCGACCCCGGCACGCCCCGGGCCGATCGGGGAGGACCTTGCCCCCGAGAGGGGCCAAAGGCCGATTTGGGGGAGGGAGGAGGTGGGGGTGCCCCCCCCGAGCTGCAGGATAGGGTGAGGAGGGGGGAGGAAGAAGGACAGGCTGGAAACGGGACGTCCCTTCCCCCTCCCAGCGGGTTTTGAGCATGGCACAAAGCAGGGGGAGGGGTCCCGGGGGGTTGGAGGGGTTTGGGGGGTCCCAGCCCCCCCACCTGGGCCAAGGCGGTACTGGCGCTCCTGGTAGGGCGTCTCCGTGTACTCCAGGAACAGGCGGATGGCGTGGGCCAGCTGGGGGGGGACACACACACAGCGCCCACCTTTGGCACCCCCACAAACCCCCTGTGCCCCCCAGGACCCCCAAAACCCCCCGGAGACCTCCAGCACCACCAACGCCCCCCGGGACCCCCGGCACTCCCACACTTTGCTGGGACCCCCAGAACCAACCCCCCCACCCTGGGACTCCCAGGACCCCCCCAGCACCCATCCTGAAACCCCCAGAACCCCTCAACACCCACCCTGGGAGCCCCAGAACCCACCACCACCCACCCCAGGACCCCCAGCACCCGCCTGGGACCTCCAGCACTCCCACACGACCAAACCTGGGACCCCCAGAACCCCCCAACACCCCCTCTGGGACCCCCGGCACCGTCAGACCACTCTGGGGCCCCAGGACCCCTCAACCTCCCCCGTCTATGCTCCCTAGAACCCCCGAATACCTCCCCCGGGATCCTTGGCGCTCCCACACCACCAGCACCCCCTCTGGGACCCCCGGACCTCCCACCAGCCCCCCCTGAGACCCCCGGAACCCCCCTCCCCGTGTCCCCCCCGGCCCCACTCACCCCCGGGATGTCCCAGTATCCCAGTGTCACCCCTCGTGTCCCCCCCGGCCCCACTCACCCCCCGGATGTCCCAGTATCCCAGTGTCACCCCCCGTGTCCCCCCCGGCCCCACTCACCCCTCGGATGTCCCAGTATCCCAGTGTCACCACCATGGTGCCCCCCAAGTGCGGCGCTGGAGACCGGCCCTGGCACGGAGCGGGACGGACCGGGAACGGGGACAGACTGGGCACGGGGACAGACTGGGCACGGGGACAGACTGGGCACGGGGACGGGGCCCTCCCCCTGCCCCTCCCCTCCCGCAGTGCCAGGTCGCCCCACCAGCGCTGGCACCGCCCCCCCTGCCCTGACCCGGCCCCACACCCCTCCCTGACCCCCCCCCGGCCTCGGGGACCCCCAAACCACCCCCCCCGAGGGAACACAGCCCCCCACCGCGCCCCCGTCCCTCAGCCCCTCGCCCAGTTCCTCCCTCCCCCCCAGTGAAATTCCAGCCTTGTACTTAAATACTTTATTTTCCATGCTGGGCGGGGGTGGGGGTTGGGCTGAACGGGTTTTGTTTGGGTTGAACCGTTTTTGGTCGGTTTTCAGGTTTTCCCGAGAGCTGCTGCGGCTGTGGGGGGGTCGCAGGGATGGGGGGTGATGCCCCCCCCAGGGACGGGAGAAGCCTCATCCGGGCCACAAATCCTGGGAAAAGGGGGCCCGGGGACAGGTCACCGTGTCCCCTTTGCCTTCAGCCCCGGGAGGGTGAGGAGGGATCCCCCCCCAACACCACCCCCCGTGTCCCCCCCGACGTGTCCCCCCGTGGGAAGGGGCAGAGATCCCGTGTTGGGGTCCCCAAGGAGCCCCCTGGGCTTGTCCCCACGTCCCCTGGGGGGGAGAGTGGACGGAGAGGGGGTGGGGGGCTCAAGGAGCATCAGGAGCTGGGGGGGGTGGGCTGGGACCCCCACGCTGCTCCCACACCCCCAGCAGGGCCCCCTGACCTGTCACAGTGTCCCCACCATGGGGGGTGAAGGCAGGACCCCCCTGTGTCACCTGCTGGTGCCACCAAGGCCCAACCCAGCGAGGAGACACCGGTTAAAAAAGGCAGGAAAAGGCCAAAGAAGGATCAAAAAAAGGCCAAAATGAGACGAAACAAAGAGGACCCAACAAACTGTGTCCCCTGGTGCCACCAAACCTGGCAGGGCCCAACCCAACCCAGTGAGGAAACACCTGTTAAAAACCAGAGTACGACCAAAAAAAGACCCCAAAAATGACCAAAACCAGATGAAATGGAGAAGACCCAACAAACTCTGTCCCTGTGTCACCTCCTGGTGCCACCAAACCCAGGGAGAGGACACTGGTTGTAAAAGGCAGGAAAAGACAAAAAAAAAAAAGACCAAAAAAAGCCCTCCAAAATGACCAAAACGAGTCAGAATGGAGAGGATCCAACAAACTCTGCCCCCATGTCACCTCCTGGTGCCACCAAACCTGGTGCCACCAAACCTGGCAGGGCCCAACCAAGCAAAGAAACACCAGTTAAAAAAAACAGAAAAAGACCCAAAAAAGACCCCAAAACTGACAAAACAAGACCCCAAAAAATGCCCCAAACCAGACAGAAATGATGAGGACCCAACAAACCGTGTCCCCCTCGGCGGCACTGGGACAGTGGCGGGAGCAGGTGGGGGGGATGGCACCAGAGCCCTGGGGGGATTGGTGGTCTCGTGGGGGGGTTCATGGGGGTCTCTGGGGGTACCCAGGGTGATGGTGATGCCCCCTCCCCTGGGTGGGCTCCAGCTCAGCACCTGTGGGTGGGGGGACACTGGCAGAGCCCTGGGGGCATCGGGGATGTCGGGGGACCCTGGGGGGTCTCTGGGGGTCTCAGCATGTGTCCAGGGTGGTGGTGATGCCCCCCTCCCCCTGGGTGGGCTCCAGCTCTGCCCCCTGCAGTGCCCATGGGTCAGGGGACGGTGGCAGAGCCCTGGGGGCTATTGGGGGTGTCGGGCGGTCCCGCGGGGTCCTAGGGGTCTCTGGGGGGTCTCAGTGCGTGCCCAGGGCGATGGTGATGCCCCCCTCCTCCTGGATGGGCTCCAGCTCGGCCCCCTGCAGCGCCTGGGTGAGCAGGGTGAGCTCCTGGCACAGCGTCTCGAAGCGATATCCCACGCGGATGTCGGGCACGTTTGTCCGGCGGATGTCGTTCCCCTCCGGCCCCTCCCGCTGGTAGTTGGGGCCCAGCCAGTAACTCTTCACCTGAGGGGGCACCCACGGGGTTGGGGTGGGCCTGGCACCATGGGGGGGGGAATGGGGGCATGGGGAGGGGATGAGGATGGAGGGATGGAGGATGGGAATGTGGGACTTGGGAAGGGGGACGTGGGAAAGGGCATCACCTTGTGGGAGAAGCCGCTCATGAGGACGCTGTTCCGGGCCAGCTCACACATGTCACAGGAGCTGAGCTTCCACACCTGGGTGGCGATGCTGTACTCCTCCATCAGGGGCTCCTGGAACAGGGACCCTCAGAGACCCCGCAGAGACCACCCAGGGACACCCCAGGGACCCTGAGAGACCACCCAGAGACACCCCAGGGACCCTCAGAGACACCCAGGGACACCCCAGGGACCCTCAGAGACCACCCAGGGACACCCCACAGGAGCTGAGCTTCCACACTCAGAAACCCCTCAGAGATCGCCCAGGGACATCCCAGGGATCCTCAGAGACCCCTCAGAGACCACCCAGGGACACCCCACGGACACCCTTCAGCTCCACCCACCCATGGACATCCCCCAGACACCCCCCAGATCCCACTCACAGACCCCCCTCAACTCCCTCCAACCCCCCTGGATGGGGGTCCCCCCCCCCCCCCCCCCGGGCCCCCCCAGCCCCCTGGGGCTGCCCCCCTCCCCAGTGCCCACCCCGGGGGTGTCTGTGGCCGGTGCCCCCCTCCCCAAAGGCCCACCTTGGTGAAGTGGAACTGCAGGGGGTCGTCGGTGGACAGGGACACCATGAGGCCCCGGGACAGGTACTCGGGCAGGGGGTTGCGGTGGTAGCTCAGGAACAGGCTGTTGTTGCTCAGGGGGGACATGGCGATGCCGATCTGGGCCAGGTAGTACAGGTACTGCAGCACGGGGGCCTGGGGGGCACACAGGGGTCAGGGGGACGCCCAAAACAGGAGAAAAACCTCCCCAGATGGTGTTAGTATAGACAAGGGAGAGAGCAGCTCTTGAAGGAAAGCTTTCAGGTGCAGGGAGCACAAAGGCTCACAGCCACACACAGAACTCACACACTTTTATGTCTTTAACTGATTTCCATATCTAGTGGGTATGTCCAACCCAAAACCCACTCTTGCCCCCGGTACCACCCTCAGAACTGCCCCAATGGAGCCTTTCCAGGGGTTCTGGGCCCTCTCTCTTGTTTTAACTCCAATATATCCCGTTATTGAGGTCCAGGTGCACATCCCAGGCAGGACGGCCCTGCTGAAACCTCCTGCCCTGGAAAGACAGAGAAACTCAGGAACACAAAGTGTGAGAAGGTAACTGTCTGACGTGAACGAAAATCAGGGAATCAGAGAACCAGCCGAGTCAGGAAAGACCTCCGAGATCATCCAGTCCAACCCTTGATCCAACCCCGCCGTGGTTCCCAGCCCGTGGCACTGATGCCACATCCAGTCTGTCCTTAAACACCTCCAGGGATGGAGAATCCACCCCCTCCCTGGGCAGCCCATTCCAATGGCTGAGCACTCTCTCGGGAAAGAACTTCTTCCCCATGTCCAACCTAAACCTC